CTGTACAGCACTGTACAAAAGTCTATCATCAGATCATCTGTATTATTGGTGGACTCTCAACGACTGGTCAAATATGTTTTTGAGAAACGACTTTACGTGTCTTGTTTCTTTTTTTTTTTTTTTTCTTTTTTAAACACTTTGCACTTTAAAATGATTATTTAAATGTATTCCGTTCGGAATACTGGTTTGAAAATTCCGACTTTGTCGCAAGGGATTGCTGTTAAAGAGAGACGAATGTTGCCGTTTGGTCGACGATCTCTGTGATCTTTGCACCGCGCTGTAGGTATAGAATAGACTCTGTCGTAACGATCGGTCTCTGTCAAACGTTGAGGTCTAGTTGCCAGAAACCTGTACGCGGGACAGTTCTTATCCTAATCTGTTTGATAAAGACCGGTGTAATGAAAAGAAATTGAAGAAAGAAATAAAATTTCAGAGCTCAGCTAAAAATCCTGCTCTCCTCCTCCTCCTCCTCCTCCTTCTTCTTCTTCTTCTTCTTCTTCTTCTTTTTTTTTCGTTCAATGCAGAGAACATGTCTCCGTGCAATTGAAAGAAATTGGAAAAATTCGGAAAGTTTTCGAGAGTTCTCACGCTCGGTTCGGCAACAATAATAACAACAATGGCGGTCACAGGAAACGGATTCTCGTTAAAAGAGTCCGGGCGTCGACAAAAATGGTCAAGAGTGCGTCGGAGGACCATTCTCCCTTTCGACGCGGCGCGATATTTCATTGAAAATTTATATTTACTCCCGCGGTGGACGTCGATACTGTGTGTGGCAATCATAAAGTCCGCCACGGAAATCGCTGGACAGCGTTCTCCGTCGCTCTCGCGAGGAAAGTGACGTAACTCGTAGGAAGAAACTGCAACAACGCGTTACACGCACGCAGACCTGGATACTCGCGGATGGGGCGACCTTATCGGCGATGATTCACCTGATCATCCATCTTGTTTTCAGCTTGCGGCCGCGCGATATTTCATCGGCAGGAAATCGGCCCTCCTCCTCTCCTCCCCGCCCCTCCCCTGTCGAAATAACTGCCCCCGGGAAAAATGAAAAAAATCCCCTCGACTCGGCTGTAAATATTCCTTCGTTGCGAGCCGTGATTTCGAGAATTCCTCTCTCGGCGAACTCTCCTTCGGGAATGTAAAATCTCGAAATCGAAGAAACTTTGCACGCTCTTAGCGTAGCATTCTCACGACTCGATCTTTCCTTGGGCCATCACCCATAGATCGATCACAGATTCAGAAAGTTTCATTAACGTTTCATCCAATCGCAATAATGGCCATCTGTACTCGCTACTCGCTAATGACGACTGTAAGGATTGCAGGATCGAAGAAAAAAGAGCGATAGGACGACAGAAGTGAAAGAGCGCGACACACTCGAGGCAGGCGCGTCTATTTTGGAATCGATCGTCCAACGTAAAGACCAGCAAATCGTTGTAAACAACGGGGAGATGCCTCGTGTCGCGTGTTAATTCGTAATGCCTTTTAACGCGAGAATAATACGCGAAACGATGGCGTAACGGTGCAACGGTGATCACTGTCGATTAGCATACGTCGTTGATTACACCGGATTTGTCGTGGATGCTGGGTAATGGATAAACCGGTAAACACGTGGAACGTGTTGGCAAAATGACGATTCGAATTGATTATTGTTAGAAACACAAGTTGAAGCCTCAAGTGATTGTGACGCGTGTTTTTTGTTAGCTGTGTGAATCAGGTAGAGAAGATATTTGCCTTTTGCATCTCGGAAAGTAATCGAGATCGTGCGTCGCAAGCGAAACTCGAGGGCGGTGCGTTGACTCACCGACTCGCAGAAACGCATGATTTTCTCGTCCCTTTCCCGTACTCTCGACAGTCACACTCTTTCGCCGTACGTTGCTCGTTAGAATTGTCTTTGAAATGGTCCGGAAAAAAAAAACTTTTACAAGGATGCTGTCCTAGATTACGCCTGGAGGATCATCCCTGAGATGACGATACACACATATGCATCGTGTCGATTTGAGCGTTAAACACGCCTGACAATTTGATTGCAAAAGCGTATCATCGTGATCGTTCGATTCAATAATCGCTCGTCCAATAAAACACGCTAATCCCACGAAGCACGGTATAAAACGCTAACGGTCGTGGGATTTATTACTACGAGAAGAATTGATTCGCGAGTTATGGTCATCGTGAGAGGCGACACGGTCGTTAAATGGCACGTTAGATTTTTATTTTGCTCGAAACGCGAAGGGAATCGAAATCGAATCGCGCGCCCCCGATATAAGATGATATTGGTGGGACGAAACGGATCGCCTTGTCGTAATCCGATACGTTTTTACACCCTGACTCTTCGTGTAACGGCTGGCCAAGGCGAATTCGCGGTAGCCTAAAAAGTGTCCATGAAAATATGGGGATCTCTCGTTTCTCGGTTAAACCGGAATATTTAACCCTTTGCACTGGACTGTCGTGCTTAAATCTAGCCAACAGCTCAGACTTCCTCTTTTTTTTTCTTTTTTTTAATTTACTGATAATCATAACGAACGTGTACATTTGTAGTGTTGTATGATAGTATAACAATGTATAATAGTATAACAGACGCGTAGAGTGAAAGCTATAGTAATGAAGAAGACAACAACTGTTCTTCAGTCAACAATTCACATAAACTGGTCTTCTCATTGCTTCTTACGACAATTCAAAAAAATAGTGGAGATGAAAGAATATTATTTTTCCAGAGATTGATACTGTGTATCATTAACATTTGCACATTATACTTGTATATTCTAGCAAACCTCTCGATGCACGGGTTTAAATTTAAATTTAAACGATGTCACATGTTAGAAAGATATGATCAACAAAATTTCGTGTTAAATACCATCCGATTGATTATTTACAATGCTATGTCATTTTATTTGAAGTGATGACGCTTCGTGAATAAATTGCTGCTAGAAAGGAACATTTTGTCGAGAGCAGAATTAACGATTCCATCTTTACACGATCACCGAAATTTCCTGTCCGCGCGCGACTCACTGATGCTCACGGTGCATCCTAATTGCCCTTCCGCGCGACGCTGACGTAATCGCGTTGCTTTGATTCGCCCACGCAAGCAGGATGCATAAACCAAAAATAACACCTTATGAAGCAATCGAAATATCCGTTTGTACACACGATATACACTCTAAGTGCTCCAATCACTACTGTCAACAACTCGCAAACAGAATCGCGGGGAAACCTCGAGATTCATCAGTTGAACTATCCGAAAAATCGATCTCGGCACTCTGCAATTCACCTTGATCCGCTGACACGGAATAGAGCGTGTGCGATCTATGATCTAGCAGAGAGAGAGCGATTGATCGAAGGATCGCAAAGTGTTCAGTGTTCCAACACTTTCGCTGCTAGTGGAAATTTGACAAATCGGCTGTCTGAAATGAATAAGTAACGACCATCAGACGTAGCTACTGATGTAAACGTTCAGGCGCGAAGACGCGAGACGTCTTTAAGAACGTCGATGACGATAGAATCGTTTAGTCGCACCGAGACAATCGACCGAATCACCTCAACGTCTATGTGAGTAAACTTTGTACAACTTGCCTATATATATCCACGCTCTTTAACCTCTTGTGCTGGAATGACGTGCCACGCACGTCGACAGTGTTTTGTCCCAAAGTTGTAATACTTTCTCCGTTTTAAGTATATTTAAGTAAAACAAAATTAAGGCAAAGCAAATAATAAATTTATTACTTCACAATAATTTTCTATCCGATGATATCGAGGCGACGAGTTCGAAAAGAAAGCGACGAATTATTGTATACGGTTTGGTCACTCGTTACGGTCCGCAATCAGTTACCAGCGCAAGTGGTTAACCTCTTTGTCCCAAAATAGCAATATTTTCTCAATTTTAGGTATATTTTCAGTATAACCTAGGCAAAGCTAATAACAAGTTTATTACTTCACAATAATTTTCTATCCGATGATATCGAGGCGACGAGTTCGAAAAGAAAGCGACGAATTATTGTATACGGTTTGGTCACTCGTTACGGTCCGCAATCAGTTGCCAGCGCAAGTGGTTAACCTCTTTGTCCCAAAATTGCAATGTTTTCTCAGTTTTAGGTATATTTTCAGTATAACCTAGGCAAAGCTAATAATAAGTTTATTACTTCACAATAATTTTCTATCCGATGATATCGAGGCGACGAGTTCGAAAAGAAAGCGACGAATTATTGTATACGGTTTGGTCACTCGTTACGGTCCGCAATCCGTTGCCAGCGCAAATAGTTAACCTCTTTGTCCCAAAATTGCAATGTTTTCTCAGTTTTAGGTATATTTTCAGTATAACCTAGGTAAAGCAAATAATAAATTTATTACTTCACAATAATTTTCTATCTGATGATATCTTAACGACGATTTCGAAAAGAAAGCGACGAATTATTGTATTACGGTTTGGTCACTCGTTACGGTCCGCAATCAGTTGCCAGCGCAAGTGGTTAAGCTTTTGAGTCCACTCCTATGATCGAATGAAGCTTCGAACGAAAGTATCGAGAGATTGAACATCTTTCGCGATTGAGAAGAATATTCTGTGTCTCTGCCTGTGTCCAACGTTTCGCGTTGGAATAATATGGGAAGGTTGCAAAAAGAAATCCCTGATTCAACTTGCGTTAGAATAATATCAGAGGGTGGTTCGTCAAAAAAGAATTAGACTCTATTCTAAACGAACAATTCTCGAAACTCTAATCTAAATCTAAATCTAAAAATCTCTATTGTCGATTTGTCTCGCAAGAGGTTGACTTTGGTGTTAGAACTGTAGAATGGGACCGAAGGAATGGAAATTGACTACTATCGGACAGTGTAGCGTATGACGGAAAGTGTCGCGGATCTGGGCCAACTCCGGCGTCGTCACCCCACCCGGCATCCGGTAATCCGGCGGTCCGGTGTTAACCGATCTCTCGCCTCCCCCACGATCCTATGTTCCTCCGGCTCCATCTCCCTCGATCGTTTGTTCCTTCGGGCCGCGCTTCTATCCGATCGGTAGGGTTTACTAAGAGAGCACGAGTCCTCCGGAAGGTTCAGTGCGAAACGCGCTCTCGAACTCGAAGGATCATTCGAGCATTCTTTGATTCCCCACCGCTTCTTTCAACCAACCGCCGACCAACGCACTTTTAAGACTTTAAGAAAGAGAGAGGCTTTCCTTGGGCTACCAGCGACACGCAACACGCTGTTTCATCGCTGCTGCTGGCTGCTGTTGTTGTTGCAGACACCTTCGAATCCTTCTCCGAAGGGTTCTCGATGAGCGCCGATCTCGAGGCTCGAGCGTCAATCGTTTGGGATCACAGTCGCCGGTCGGATCGAGCGGATCTTGGACGACACTGAACGGAGAAGAGGACTCGAGTCGACGGGATGATCGACAGGACGTGTTTCGCGGTCCTTCTTGGACTCCTGGGTCTGGTTTGCGGCTTGCGTAAGTTTTCTGATTCTTATGCCATGCTTTTTCGAGAGTTCGAGACGATTAATTTTAGTATCGCCGTGGTTTAGTTTTATCATTAATAAAGTCGATTGATTGGACGTGTACGAGCATTTAAGAGACGGAGATCTCCAATTTGAAATTTTGTCACGCTCTTTGGAAAATTTGAGATTTTAGTGCTGTGATATATCACGGTTTACTTCGATGCAAATCGATAAGGTTCGACTTCTGTGCGTTTCGTACGTGTACGAACATTGAAGAGATGATTTTCAATTTGAAATTATTGAATGGAACGTGTCGTACATTTCTTACTAAATTGTTTAACTTCATACTAATTAATTTAAAAGGAACGATCGGTAAAGAAGCGTTTCTTTAATTGAAATGTACTCCGCTCTACGCTATTCGTCAAAATTTGCAGCAAAAATTTTTCTACAGTTCTCGTAAATTTGTTTTCTATTTTTTCACGCGTACAGGGTGTTTATAAAGTCTATTTACAATTTCAAAAATTTATTACAAAGGCAAATCAAAAGACAGAAAAGTGGAAATTATTACAAAATGAGACGTATATATTTAAGTTTTTCTTGCCTCAGTTAATACACCTCTATATGGGCACCATTAATTTCACGAAGCACATCAAGACGTTACTCGATTTCTTACACGATCAATGTTTTCCTCATACACTCACTCCTCCCTTTATCGAACGCTGCCCCTGTCTCCATAAATTTCTTGTGCCATGCACGAATTGATGGACGTGACGGTGAATCTCTTCCACACTTAGTTCTGAAGTTTCACCAAGCCTGCAGATCCGATTTGATTTCAATAAACCATGATACACACTGTGCCTTCTCTTGACGAGTAGCTATTTTGTGAAGGGTTCATTTAACAGTATCTTATTCATCGACAGAATACCTGAAAAGCAATGTAATAAAAACCTTGATAAGCACATGGAACAAATCTGATGAAGATATCTCGTCAATTGCCCTTTGTAATAAATTTTTGAAATTGTAAAGAGACTTTACGAACACCCCGTATATCTTCGCTTGTAACTGTTCCTGCAGTGCAACGAGTGACCGGTAATTTCCTCGTCGATTAAAAACGAACGACGATGCGACGCCCATCTTTTCTTTTCGCTTCACAGTTCGCTTAGGGATTTCGCGATCCCTTGGTGTATCGGGAGCACGTTGTCCTCTAAGGTTAGGTTGCGCCATCGACAACTGGAGCAACGGTCCGTACAAGGACGGGTACCATTTACGTCATTAAATCCGGTCGATCTTCGCGCGTGGCACGTGCAGGAATCTTCGAGGAACGGATTCCTCGTACGGGCGGTGCATACGTTGCCCCCGTCTGTCTCTCCTCGAATAATTGACAAACAAACTTTCGTTTTCGACCACGGCCGAGAGTCACGCGATTTGAGAAAAATAAAAGCAATCCGCCGGCCAAACTTTCACCGTTTGATCATCCTGTCCTGCCGAATCGGCAGCTCTTTCTTTCTTTAGGAGACCGGTAAAATTCGAAAATATTCGATCGATCGAGCCCTCGGTGGACAAAGTAAAGGCGTAATTCTTTTTGTTAGACGACATTTTGTCAACCAAATTTAGACTGATCGTTTCCAGCCGAAGTTGCCTTCTTGTGCAGAGCATCTTTCTGCGTGATTTTTGTTTTTTTTTCTTTTTCCTTCTCTCGGCGAGCCGCAAGGCTGCGTGGCTATGTAAACGACTATTATAGCAACAGTTGCACAGCGTGCGCGAAGGATGATGTCAACGGCAACGTTCAATCAATGCACGTAACAAACGGATCTACCGAAGCTACTAATTTTTGGCTCGTTTGTTTTTCTCCTTTTTCATTCACGGTCACGCGGAAAATTACTGGCCCGGATCCCGTTAATTTTCGTTTCGCGACGCGAGTTACCTCGAGCATGTCCTTTGGACAAGGAGACATAAATCCAACACACAAGCTCGTTGATATACGTTGTCTAATTGTATAATTTTATAGCCTCGCTATAAATGTCGATGATTTAGTATAAAATTTCGTTAAGTACTCTTACACTCCTGATATTGGATTCGTAACAATGACGAAGAATTTATTATAGAAAAATTGTTATCTCAGAATATATAATTTTCTATTTAATTTTTATTTTTATTTTCTATATAATTTTCTATTTAATTTTAATTTTTATTTTCTATATAATTTTCTATTTAATTTTAATTTTTATTTTCTATATAATTTTCTATTTAATTTTAATTTTAATTTTCTATTTAACTTTAATTTTAATTTTAATTTTCTATTTAACTTTAATTTTAATTTTAATTTTTATTTAATTTTTATTTTCTATATAATTTTCTATTTAATTTTAATTTTAATTTTAATTTTCTATTTAACTTTAATTTTAATTTTTATTTAATCTTTATTTTCTATATAATTTTCTATTTTAATTTTAATTTTTATTTTTATCTAATTTTTATTTTATTCTCTTACTTTTATTTAATTATAAATCTTATTTATTTTTCTGTATAATTTTCTAAAACGATGATGGTTGGAACGAATGGCTGATCGAGTTTGAATCGATTGCAGAATGCCCGAAACAGAGGACATCACCGGGCAGGGAAGTTGTGTGCTACACTTCCGTTTCCGACGTCGACCAGCTGACAGAGGCCGTTTGCAAATGCACCACTCTGGTTCAACAAGGCCACGACGTGCGAAATCTTTCGCTTTCCGGTAAGTGTCAGACACTGCAAGCTTCAATTTTCTGTTCTACGATAATCGGTGATAGCACGCTAACGACGAGTTAATTTTTGACACGGAACCTACGGTCGTTTGAAAGACGCGTGGTAATCGCGACGATGATCGGTGCTGTCAGATGATGATTTCTTGCTCAACGCGAACGAACAAAACAAAACCTGATGGAAGAATCATCCGGTGGCAGATCCGGAAAGGAACGTTCTTGGAAGTGGATCTTTTTTAAAAATCTCGAACGATTAGCTCGAGATGTCTCGGGCTGATTAGCACTGATCGTGAATCAACGATCGCGGATCGATGAGTGCAACGGGACGAAATGCAAATGAATTAGAGGCATACTAATTGCAGAGTAGGGAAATACTGCGAGACATTGAGGATATTTATTTGTTGGTTAAACGATCTAAGATTCGATTAAAAGATATAAAGCGAGAGAAAAGCGAGATTACTCTTAACGAAAATAATTGATAGAAAACGGACATTACGATATTAAATATTTATTCGATGATTACATGTATATATCAGGCATTTAACATTGTGTAATTCGATTTTGCGATTGCATAAACACCATTCATAGAAACACAGTTACATCCTTGCACTTGCAACAGGATATCGAAATCTAACCACTGTGGACGGTGTATTCTTACGTCCAGCGATATTTTCAGTACTGAGAAATCGACTCTCGATTTCCGTCATCGAAGCTCCGTGATTTATCGTCGAAACTTGCTCGTTTCGGTATTAAATCAGTCCATTTTTCACTCGATTAACGTATGTACACACATGCGTTGCGATGATTAATTAGAATTATTACATTGTTTATAATACCTTTTTAAAAAATAATGATCATATGATTAATAAGTGCTTGACTCGGCTATTTTTCGTGGCTGGTTGCTATCTTTGTCCGTATGATTAATGACCGCTTGTCGATCGTGACATACTCGCACGAGTTCGTTGGTTTTTCATTGTTAATTGTCACGATCGTTGAATCTATTCATCGCGTTCAACGCAGAATTTTTGTAACGGACAGAGCTACAAAGATGTCTCTTCGGTTAGTCATTAACATGTAACATGTCACATCGTGTCGGGCGTAAAGAATTATGTACAATTTATATTTATCAACCCTCAATGCGAGGAATTGAGAATTGAAAATTCAAACTGACATTCGACAGCCATTTGCTTTCTCTTTCGAAGAGTCGAAACTGCAATTTCAAAAACCCGATAAACCGAACGCAAAGGGTGAATTCCAATCGGGAAGAAGACAAAGTCGAGGATTTTCCCCTCCCGAAGTCGAGAGAATCCAAAGAGGAAAAATCTGATTCGTGTCGGAAGTGTGTCTCGAATGTATAAAATCGCGGCACAAAGGAATGCCTTTTCACACTCGTACGAGACAATGCTCGATGAATATTTACACGAATAGACTATAATAAAATAATCTCGACCAGTTTCTTATTTCTTGTCGAAATCGAAGTGTTAGAAATCGGTTGTATGCCAATCGGTTCGCACCTCGGGATCGGATGAACCGTGTAATTTCAACAAGCTCGTCACCTCGGTCGTTTACTTGCACAAACATGTCGAAATAGTAGTTGCATCAATTAACGACGCTTAATCGATTGCTTGTCGATTGAACGGTGATCGACAAGCTTTCAATTAGATTCTGCGATCTATGTTTTGTACATACGTACATGTAAATTGTATTCAAAAATACGAAGATGCTTCACGAAATTTCGAAATGTACGAAATATTATTATATTTTACGTTATAATATTGTATTATATTGTATTATATATTTTTATATATTATTAGAATATTAGTTTTATATTAGAATATTCTATTATACAAAACATATGATTGTATTATATTTATATTATAATATTATACAATTATAGTAATATTTATAAATTAATTAAATATTATTGTATTATGTTAATATTAATTAAATTAAATACAATACGATAATATTTACAAATAATATTTACAATAATACAGTAATATTATTATATTCCAAGATACACTCCGTTCAAAAACATTACCAAAATTTTGTACGTTATATAGATGTTATTCATATTTATTTATATAATTTAACGTAATAATATAAACATATAACGTATAAAATTCTTAATTATATATAAATATAATACACTATATTATATATAAATATAATACAGTAATATGTATAAATTAATTAAATATTATTGTATTATGTTAATATTAATTAAATTAAATGTTTATAAATTAAATATAATACAATACAATACAATTAAATATAATACAATAATATATAACAATAATATTTACAATAATACAGTAATATTATTATATTCCAAGATACACTCCTGTTCAAAAACATTACCAAAATTTTGTACGTTATATAGATGTTATTCATATTTATTTATATAATTTAACGTAATAATATAAACATATAACGTATAAAATTCTTAATTATATATAAATATAATACACTATATTATATATAAATATAATACAGTAATATGTATAAATTAATTAAATATTATTGTATTATGTTAATATTAATTAAATTAAATGTTTATAAATTAAATATAATACAATACAATACAATTAAATATAATACAATAATATATAACAATAATATTTACAATAATACAGTAATATTATTATATTCCAAGATACACTCCTGTTCAAAAACATTACCAAAATTTTGTACGTTATATAGATATTATACATATTTATTTATATAATTTAACGTAATGACATAAACAAAAATAGCGTATAAAATTATTGTAATATTTTTTAACAAGAATATATCCTGGAATTCTTACCGTTGATCGTCAAACAACTTACACGCATCTTTCCTCGGCCAATCACTCTATTTTTAGAATATCAAAAATCTCCAATGTTGAATTCCATCGATTCTATAATCTTTGCTTCTCCTCTTGGATTATTCGTTTGCATTCCATCCGACTTTTAATAAAATAAATAATCGCCACAGCGTTGTCGTGTTCTCGCCAGAGCGAGCGTTATCACGTTTCGTGTGTCAGGAATCGTCCGACAGAGATCGGATACGGAGCAAAGCGGAGTCACCGTCGTTAAAGCACGACCTGTTGCGCAACGCGCGCTCGTAAGAAAAAAGAAAAAAGAAAAAGAAAAAGAATGAGGCAGAGGGAGGCGAGGAACAGGGAATGGAAAGCAACGCGCTTTCGGTTTCGAAATTTCGCCCAAAATCAATTTGTTATGCATAACGGTCGGTTGACGGCAGTGTGTCACGCGTGAAATTCGATATTCGTGTGCAGACCGCGGATCACACGGGATCGGGAACCAGACGTTGTAAAAGGGAGAAAAAGAGAGGCGCAGAAAAGGAGGAGAAAAATCCTCGAGACGGAGAGAGAGAGAGAGAGAGAGAGAGAGAGAGAGACGAGGACAAAAGCGTCTGCGCGTTTGTGACATAATCGCGCGAAAACGAGCTTCGTTTCGATTCTTCTTTTTCGCTGACCGATATTCTCCTGTTTGCCATGAATGGTCGCAGCCTCGTTTCGCGAAGGAAACGTCTTTTTGATAACGAAGGAGCCAATTTTAATTAAAGTCGGACACGAACGGACGTCCCTGGACGTGAAACTCTCTTCGTTTCGTCTTTTCGTGTCCAGCGGCGCAGTCTGTTAATTGATACGATTGTATTTTTAAATGCTCGAGGCATTGTCTTTTATTTTATTTTCTTTCTTCTCGCGATATACAGAGTGTTGGGGGAAAAAACACGAGGCTCGTAGAAAAGTTGAGTTGCTTTCACTCGTCGCGAAGACGAAAAGGAAAAGAAAAAAAGAAAGAGAAAAAAGGGGAAAAAAATACGCGCGATAAAAATGTCGCGTGTCCATACCAAATTTGTATATGGGTGTGGTTAATGAGACGCGAGGACAGTAGCGTTGAAAGTGGTTCTTATAGATGATCCAGATGTAACAAATATCACTTTCCCTCGCACGCTGCTGAATCTTATTTCGCTCACCATTCAATCTCGTTCCTTCGACCGTCTAGTCTCATTTCGAACGATAAATATTCCACGCAGTAAAATAGCGTGTCTCCGCGAACCTGTCTCTCTCTTTTAATTTCGACGCTTTCGCTCATTTGTACGAGTCAATACAACATAATCGTGATATAATGACATATGCGTTTGCGCGTGACGTAACATTTTGTGCGAGCATAATTGCACGGTTGAAAAAATGCATTAAATGTTGCCTGTTGCCAAATTTTCAGCAGACCAGTTTTATTTTCCGTATGCCCTCATTTTCAGGACGTGATTGCGAAATCAAATGATGTTAAAATCCCGTGTAACGTCAAACTTTGGTAATCTCTATCAATACGATGCATTTTATGTTGTAGTTTTTTTTTTTTTTTTTTTTTTTA